CTGTTATGTTAAACTTATATTAATGTTTTTCTTCATTACCCATTCAAGCCGTCTCCAGCCATTAATAGTGAATACAAGTTTGGCTATAATGTTATTCTATAGGTCATTGGTTAGGACACATTTGTAGTAGTGTGTTCAGTCTTGAGCTCCTTACCGTAAGAAGGATATTGAAGTGTTGGAAAGGGTTCAGAAGAGGACTACAAGGATGTTACCTGGAATTGAAAGGTTGTCATATGAGGACAGTTTAAAATCTTTGAACTTGTTGTCTTTTGAAAAAATATGAGTTAGATGGATCTGATTGAAGTGTATAAGGGCTGGCTTTGAGTTTTTTAGATGATTTAAATGGTCCTTTGTTGTCCTTTACTTTTATGTTATACTTTCTGTCTAAGCAGGTGAACATCCAGATAGTATCTTTTGTTTAATGCAGGTTTTGTTCCTTTACACCTTTTATGTAAGCAGATACATTCAAGCAATATTGTGATTTTGCAAGGACCCTTGTTTATAGGCATTCTGTAGCTTTTAAGTTAATTTTTGGCAAATGCACTGTTCTACTTATTAGCATTTTGTGTTTTTGAAACCTGTGTTTTAGATGTCTATGAGTTTATAGATATTGTGCAACAGCCAAGCTAATTAAAGCAGCAAATGATATAAATTTCTTCAGGTAAATCAACTTTACATGTGCAACACTTACTAACGTGTTCTTTGGCTGCGAAAATATACTTCACCTAATAAATGTTTTAACTTCTTGTCTAGTTTTTCAATAACATTGGACATTTAAGCTAGTGTGCATAACAAAATGCTGTATCCTACAAGAAGGCTTTGAGCTGATACCATATATAATGAGTCTTGGGTTATAAAAATTTGCCTATGGTGGCTAAGTAAAAATGTTTATCACTTTCATTTTTGTAGAATGTTCTCTAGCAGTTTTGAAATTTTAATTTTTCAGGGTATCCATTTATGGATAACATATTAGTCCAGAAAAAAAAGAAGATTATTTTCCCTTTCTGTGATACCAACTAGATTAATGTAGGCTAGTTGTTTGAAGGTTGTAGCTAACTTAATTTATGATGGATAGTGTGATTCAAAATAACAAAACAGGCTTAGAACTTACTTTTCCTATAAAGTTGCATAATGAGTTAATTTTGGTCTTCATATTTTGACATATAAGAAAGACAGCATGTTCAAAATTGTTGATTGTTCTTAATGTAGGGATTAAGCTTTTGTAATATTGAGAGAGGATTATCAAAATATGTAATTTATAGGTTCATATTCTAAAGATGACATTAGTAAATCTGACCCACATACTTGGATTGAATCCAGAGTAGAAAGTTTAAAGTACACCATTAAAGGGTACATATGAAAATGACAGAAGTCAAGCAGTTTGGTTTCTTTGATTGTTAGATACACATATATCTCTCTTTTTTTATTTGTTAGAGGTTCAGTTGACTTATTTTTTAGAAGCTAATGTCTTTGAGTTTAATTGTTGTTAGAGGGTCAAGAGTCTGAGACTGTTTGTTACATGTTGATATCTAGTTGTTTTGTATGTTAGACGTTACAGGTGTTTGGTTTTGTGATAGGCTCAGTTCTTTCATGCTTTTGTATTTTAGATAGTTATTTTGTATGTTTCATTGTTCATTAAACAAGGCGTAAGAGTCTGGTTTTGTTTTTAGACTCAAATGTTTAATATTTCTTGTTTCTTAGAGGCTCAGCCTTGTTTTTAATTCTTTTTTAAAAGTCTTTACATTTGAATTTAATACAGGTCATGTCTCTGATTTTATATATTGTTTGTTTGAGGCTCATATCTCTGGCTGTACTTTTTGTTAGAAGGTCAGTCTGGTATTATTGTTTGTTGAGATCATATCTTTGGCTGTTTGTTTGTTAGAGGCTTATGTTTGGCTTTATTGTTTATAAGAAGCTCAAGATTTTTTTATGTTGTTTGGCAGTGTTTCTGTTTTTACTTTTATCTTAACAGGCTCAGTTCTTTGTTTTTTTTTCATTCTTAGATTATTATGTTTTATGTTTGAGTATTATGCCTTTTATAGTTTACTAGAAACTTGTGGTTTTTGTTTTTCTGGTTTTGTTTGTTTGAAGCTCGTATCTGGTTTCATTGTTAAGTTATTTTTAATTGCCAGGTTTTATTATTAACAGAGACATTGTTTTTATTGGAGGTTTGTGTTTTATTCATTTTATTATTGGTTAGATACTTATGCAACTGGGATGTATATTTCTCAGTGCACTGGGAAATATACAGAACTGTGCAAAAGTGTTAGAACAAAGTCCAAAATTAGATTTCAGGCTACTTTCAAAGAACAATGGAAGGTAAATCACAGGTGAAGCATCAAAATTTTATTAATCTTCATATTTAGTAAAACAGAAACTCAGTGGAAGTGCTTGAGTTCAGTAAACAGTTAATGTTTTGTGTGTCCCCCTTTTACTTTAATAACTGCAGACAGTCTTTCAGGCATTGTTGCAGCATATTTAATTAAAGTGTCTTTTGGTATTTTACTCCAAATGTCTCTCCCATAAAGTTTGTTTTGAGGTAACTTTTGGTTTGGCAAGTTCTCGATTTATCAAATCCCAGATCTGCTCAACTGGGTTGAGATTGGGACTCTGTGGGGGGGGCCATTGCATCATTTGACTGACTCCAGCAGCTTTTTTCTTAGCTAAGTATATTTCTTCATAGGTTGGATAAGTGTTTGGGGTCATTAACTTCTTGGTAGTAGAATCCTTTACCAATAATACACAAACCACTGGGTATAC